GTAGGGGGTTAGGGTGAGGAATGGGAGGTATGTGAATGTTGTTGTGGTAGTTGATAGGGGGTGCAGGTTTGTGAGGGGGTGGATGAAGGGGAAGAGCAGGAGGGCGGGTTGTGATGGCGGCGGCGGCGGGGATATCGGAGAGAGTGGGGGGGGGGGCTGTAGTGTGGTTGGTCTTTTGCATGGGGGGTAGGGTGTGGGTTACGGTGCTAAGGGGTTGTGATAGGAATAGGATTGGAGGGTCATATTTTCCTTCATTTCCTCCGTCTGCTTGGAGGGGGTTTTCTATTCTGGATAGGGATGTTTTATTCATTGTTGGGTGGAGGAGTTGATCAATTCGCCATCAAGGAGGGAGGATTAAATTGTGTAACCCTATTTTTCGAGCATCTTTGCTTGTGTAGTTATTCAATGTGAGGAAGCTCTAGCTTGACCTACCCCATCGTCGGGAGGATGGAGTACCGTCACGATATGCTACGGTAGCCGGAGCCGCAAGAATCAGACAATCTTATCATTTCCGTGCCAGGTACCGCTAACCGGACAACCAATCAACAAAACCGTCATCCCCCCATCCCCCCATCCACCCCCTAATTTACCCTTCAAATACACCCGCTATCAACCTACGCCGCAAAGGGCCATCTGCTCTACTCAACCTTCACGCCATATCACAATGTCACCACCACGAGAACCGATCCCACTAGAAACAAAAAATTCAACGCGAGTGACAATTCATGAATCAAGCCAAAATGAATTCCCTTCCTATATGTACTTTACCCACCGCTACCACCACCGCCACCACAACCCGGGGTGGAATGGACACAATCCATCAAGCCAAACTAAGCCTGTCAATCGGCCAAGGAATAGATGCAAACAAACAAGCAGGAAAACAGTAATACAATACACCACCACCACCAGCAGAACATGCAAAGGGGAGAGGAGAAAATCAAAACGAAAGTGCGCAAAAACGAAACCAAAAGTGCTCAACAATAATTCTCAAGCAAAAACGATGTCCCGCCAGTGGCCGCCGCCATCCAAACGCTTGTCCAGAATATCTTTCTCTTTGGCTTTTTACCTTGTGTTGATTTTCCCTGTTGCCGCTGGGAGTTGACTGCCTCAGCGGGCGCGGGAGTAGTAAGGGTGGGTTTTTCCACCGCTGGTTTCGCAAGGAGTGCTTCGGCTGGGGTTGGAGGTAATGGGGACCCACGCCTCTTCTCCCAGTTCTCTCGCGCGACTTCTGAGGCCGGGGAGGGGGAGGGTTGGGGGGTGGTTTCTGCTAGTGGGAGTGGTTGGGTTGTAAGGGTTCGTTCTCTGGTGGAGGCCAAGGGATCGGGGGCTGCGGCGGTGGCTTCCCACCTTTTTGTTGCTTCTTCCTTTTTTAGCGTCTCTTTTACGACCTCCGGGGCTTCGGTGAATGGTTTTTCCTCCGCTGGCTGTTGGATGGTCTTTTCTGTATTCTCACTGAATCGGTACTTGTCCTGCCAAGCGTTGTTTGTTTCTATCTCTGTGGGTTCTTCAGCTACCATCTTCACCGGTGGCGTGGCGGTGGCCCCGTCGTGCACTTGTCCCGACTCGATGTTCTCTTCCACCACCTCGGGGTATTTTGCATCCTCGGCGATCTGGTCCGGACGCTTGATGTCCGAAGGGTTGAGTTTGAAATCCTCCTCTGGGGCCTTGGGCTCACGGGCTTCAGAAGATACTTCTTGCAATTTGGCAGCTTCCTCGATTGGTTTAGCCGTCTCCTGCTCGGTGGGCGCGAGCTCTTTTTCAACAGGTTTGCTAGTCTCACCGACGAGACTGGAAAACTCTTCGAACACCTTTGGTGGCTCTTCGACTACTGGCGATGATTTTCCGCCAAGGCCGATTTTGCCAGCAATATCTGCTGCAATTGCATCTAGCCCCTTCGGTGGCGTGTTGTCCTTGAGGGCGGGTTTAGTTTGGAGCTTCCGCATCCCTTCGATCTCCTGCAGCATGCTCTGCATTTTCCCATCTGCATCCTCGATGGGGGCGCGAACAATAACACACTCCCTCTCTCCCGCCACGATCTCAAAGCCCAACCTCTGAACTACATCCCAATAACCTATAAACTTTTCGGGGGACTGCATGTTCTCGAACACTTTTATCGGGGTGGTCTGTTCGGGTGAGATGGGAGATAGGGCGAGAGGAAGGGGCGCAAAGTTGAAGTCGTTGGTGGATGGATTTCGCGTCAAGACAAAGTATTTTTGCGCTGGGGGGTATTGTGGGGTCTTGTAGGTATCTTCGGCGGCCGGGGTATCCGTGCCGGACCAATCCAACTCCTCCTTATCTTCTCTCAAAGGAGCTGTTGACTCCGTCCTGACCCTCTTCTTGATCTCTTGGAGAATCCTCCCACGTTCTATCTCCAGCTCGATAGTTCTTTGGTTCTCCAGCCGAAGTTTCTCTCTCCTTTCTTCCTCTCTTCTCTGCATCTCTTTCTCTTCAGCTACTCTTCTTTCAACCTCTCTTCTCTGTATCTCTTTCTCTTCAGCTTCTCTTCTCTCAACCTCTCTTCTCTCAATCTCCTTCCGTTCGGCCTCTTTCCTCTGAGCCTCCTTCTGCTCCCGCATTATTCTATATGCCCTGATGTTGTGCATAGCACTCTCCTGCTCCTCACGTAGCTGCATCCATTCCTGAACCATGGCATCCCTCCTCACCCTCCGTTCCCTCTCAATTTCGATCTCGTACTTGCTCTTCACTGGACGTCCAGCAGAAGACCTAACGTCACTGGGGAGGAGTATATCCATGTCAGAGTCGGACTCGGAGCCGGAATCGGATTCCGGAGAACTCGGTTCGGGCTTATCGCGCGGCGGTGGTGACGGTGGTTGTGTCGGCCGAGGAGGCAGTGGAGGAGGAGCCTGCTCGGGATCGGGGTAGGTAGGCGTAGCGGCTGCAACGCCCGACGGCAATACAGAGCTTTTTTGCGGAGGGATAACACTCTTAGCACCCTGAGGTGGCGAGGCTGATGAAGAAGGTTCCTGCAGGAAGCCGTCCAAGAACCCAGTCTTCCCCCCGTGGTCACAGTTCTTCCCGTCGGCGTCCGGATCCCAGCTGTTCTGTGCCTTGGGTACTCGCTTCAAGGTAATCAGGTCGATTTCGCCACCATCGTCATGCTCTTCCTCCTACGTAGCATCCGTTAATAACCTTGTCTCCAACCCTACCCACTAGCCCAAAGAATTCGTGGATGATAGATTGAAAAGGGAAAGCCAACCTCAGCACGCTCAGAAACCCAACCCCTCCCAGGCACGTACTCGCTTCTTCTCTCCATCCTCTTCCCATCCCGGATCTCGGTCTCCCAACGCTTCCCCCAGACGCGAATCGAGCGGGCGAGGCGTGGGTGTGCGACGCGGACAGTGCGGGACAGCATTGCTTTCTTATCTTTACTATCAATCTATCCTTTGTATAGTTATCGTATCGTGGAGTGAACGGAACGGGATGGAACGAGTGAGCGAGTGGGTGAGCTGTCAAGGTGGGGTTTGTTGAAATATTATTGGGAGGATGAGGTAATGTGGGTAGTAGCTACCCGTGCTTCGGCAAGCAAAGAAAAGAGCCCCGCTGTATGGCTGGGTGAGTTCGCTTGACGGTGGTTTGTCACGGTCATTCTAGCGTAACTTATCGCTTGTATTCCCATAACTTGCTCTACCACCATTCTTTGGTGGCTGAAGCGGGGGTTGAGGCTTGGCTTGGCACGTCGCACAGATGATCGCGGGAACGGAAAGGAGGAAGCTGGAAGGAAGGGAAAGGAAAATCTGAGGTTCGGTTGATTGAGATTTGCTCTGTTTGATTGTGAATATTGCGGGAACTAGCATAACTACTACAGCCGGGGTATCATTTATTCTCTCTATATCTGTTTACAATGCATTCAACCTGCGTTGGGTGCTGGGCCAAAGTCTCGGCGGAATAACGGCATCAGCTCCATTGCCAACTTCTCCAACGCCCCTAATAGTTCCGCATCCTCGGCACTCATGGTCTTGATAATGTCCCCAGCACCGATAAACGGTTTCATATCTGCTTCGCAAACCGTGCCTGTAGCGGGTACCTCCCCTGTTTCAAAGTACCTACGGATGTGCTGTGCTGTGCATAGCGATGGTGCAGATATCGAACAGTGTCCTTCAGAGTTTTGCTCTAGCACGGTTGATCCGGGGAAGTTTTTGGACATGACATGTGCACTAAGATACTGATTAGCACTGAAAGGTAGGGGAAGAAGGAGAGAGACAGGGAGGGGAGGATACTTTCTAAGTGGGGTAACCGGATCCTTACTGTTCCCAACAATCAGCAATGGGGTGCTAGTATTCCCGCTGTACGGTCCCGGGAATGCCAATCCCTTAGGGCGGAATTTCCAATTGGTACAGCCAAGCCGAAGCTTCGCCCACACGCCTCCGAACGCCTTCGTCTGCGAGGTTAGTTCTCGAAGGTACTCGTCAAACGCTGCTCTATCGTCGGGTACCGGTGTGCCGTCAGAACATGCGATCGCAAGAGCTACTTCGCCGCCGCCGGTATTTGGCGTTCTTAGGCCTCCGGGGCAGTCGCATTCGAAGCCGGCACGAGCAACCTCTAGGTATCCCCTCCCATCGCCGGTCTCGAGGGCAGCGAGGATCTGGGCCACGATTGGGAACCAGCCCAGCGGTGCATAGAGGGAGGCGAAAAGGAGGTTGCGAACGTCTGATTCTGTGATTATTTCTGGGGTGCTGGTGGTCGATTGGGAGGAGGGGATGGGAAGTGGCTCTGCTGAGAGCTTTTGGAGGAGGTTGTGTAGGCGGACGGTTATGTCCTCGGGTGTCGAGCCAGTGTGGAAAGCGCATCTCAGAGGGCCGGCCTGGGAGCAGTATGTCGAAAAGCTGGCGAGGACTTTGTCCGTGTCTTGTAGGTTGGCTTTCCAGGCGGCAGAGTAGTAGTCTTCCACATCGCAGATTCCTGCTCATCCCAATCAGTTTTAAACTTCCCCACGTGCCCGCGGGACAAATAGGGGAAGTAGCTACCGTCGACGACAACCCTCTCAACCCTCTCGGGGAACATCGCAGCGAACGTACTCCCAAGCACACTTCCATAACTTAAACCCCAATACTGCAACCCTCTCCCACTCATCCCACTTAACCCCCAAAGCCTCTCCGAGATCTCCAGCATGTCCCTAGCTACTGACGGAGTATTAACATACCCGCCCTTCTCCTCTCCAGCAACCGTTCCGCAACTTTCGGAAAGAGCTTTAAACCGCGCGTACGTTTCCCCAACTTCACTCCCACCGGTAAGAACCTTTCCATCATCCTTTTCAATAAAAAGCTTCCTCCGCAGTGAATCCTCGAAGCAGGAGAATGTGGGAGTCGTGTTATTCACGCCACGGGGGTCGAAGCCGACGATGGAGTAGTGTCTGCCGATGACCTGTTGGAACAGTTCGCCGAAGGCTAGGAGCATGTATACCCCCGAGCCGCCAGGACCGCCAGGGTTAATGAGAACGGGGCCGCCGTAGGGTCTGCTAGTGTCGGTAGCTTCGAGGATTGTAATTGCGATCGCAGCAGTATGATCTGGAGAGGGGTTGGTGTAGTCTAGCGGGACGGCGAGGCGAGCACACTTGTGGCCGTTGAAGCAGGGGTAGAGGTTGATGTCTTCGGTCGGGATGATCTGTGGTCGCTTGTTAGTTCGCCGTCTCTGAAATGTCAATCTCGTAGTAGGAGCAGGGAGAACATACATCACCCCATCCATAATCCCCCTTCACCGGTCTCCTAACAAAAAATAAGGGCTCACTGTGTCTGACACGGCAAGCATACAAGAGCAGTAACATCATAAACGTTGCGAGAAAAGTCTTGCTCGACTTAGACAGTCCCCACGAGCGGGGCTTACCGGGGTGAACATAAGCCTTGCCCTCCGAATCCATTCCGTTTGATGGCGCTCCGAACTTTTCCGCTGGGTTGTAGGACATCCTACCCGGCGAAGCTTATTCCGAACTGAGAAGAAGAGGTAGGGCTTAAGAATTTTGCGGACAGAGGGTTAAACTCTGCGAAGGACAAGAAGGTTATTGCGCTTCACAGCACAGGGCGGTGATTCTTTGGAGGGTGACTTTCGAGTGTCATATCGTATCGAATTGTGAGGGTCGTCGGCACTCTACCGGTAGTACCGGTACAAGTACCGTACGAGTACTGGAACTGGGGAAACATAGCCGTACTCGTACCGGTACTTCGTGCAGGGGGTGAGCATGGGTGAATTCGTAGATCCCAGTTTTCATTGGTCAACTATTGGTAAGTGTAACTTCACTCCTCCCGCCACAGTGGCTCCACGCTTTACCGCTCTCCGAGTGGCCGAAAAGGCCCACGAGCCAATCACACCCCCAAAAGTGTGGCGCGAAGGAGGGATCACTGATAAGAATCATTGAAGGCCCCTTCGATCACCTGAAGGCGTCCGGAAAGCCCATAAAAACACGCCGCGATAACTGAATTGATGCGAAAATATGGGATAAAGACCCAGAAAAAACAGCCCAAATCGGAATATGTTTCTCTCTCGCCGCCCAATATTGCTATCCATACCTTCGTCTCCACAACCACCTTCGAGGAAGCTCCGAAACAAGACTCCCCTTCTCCAATGCCCGGTTAACCAAGCTCCCTCGCTGGCCGGGGGCCGTTTGGTAACGCCCAACATCCGCTAACCCACTAACTAAGGATGTCCATTGACGAGAGAGGTAATTTAAACCAGATAATTTACCTACAACACCTTTCCCCTTCAAGATCACTCGCAGATCTATACTCTTCGCTTTAGCGCGCGAGCGTAGACCTTTGTTGCAACATTACTAGTGTAGTTAAAGACGGGGATTTTTGAAAGAGAAAGTGAAGGTAGGAGAGGAGGACTTGATGATTTGTCTAACCTTCTTTTCTTCCTTGCGGGAACTACATTTGCTCCGTCTGCCACACGGCATCATAATTGATCACTCATAGTTTGGCTGTGGTAACCTGTCATTACTAGCAATCCCAGGCCGCCCCCCGCCCTTTCCCTCATTTTTTGTTCCTGTCCCGGGCAGTCATCCCCAATACCTGCCGTCTGTGGTCACCCCCCACTACGGCATGGCAATTGGGATGGTCGTGCCGAATAAAAAATTAAGGGCGTGGATTTTTTTTAGCAGGGAAACTGGGGAAGGCGATTGTGGAAAAGAGAGGTCCAAATTTTTTTTTGCATGCGCCATACCTATCATAGATCTTTTGGGAGATCTTGTTGCCCCTGGTCGCCAAGGATGATACCCAACAGGTAGAGTTATAGCTTGAATGGAGTGAGATTGGCCTGATAGGGTTGAAAGCGTTTGGGAGAAACCAATATACCTTTTTATTATTTTGCCCAAGTCGGTGGACATCCCTTAATATACCTTTGGACAAGCAGGCATTCTCACAACTTCTGCTTTACTACCCCTACACTCTTCATGGCCCAGGCTCCCCTAAACACGACCTCTTCTCGTTCACAATTGACCCTCGTATCCAATTGTGATAGATTCCGCTATTATCTCCCTTCCCATCTCACCTCCTCCTCCTACTGTGCTAGCACAAACAAGTATTCTCCCACAGTTGTTTCCAGACCCCTTCCAGATGCCTATGGTAAGTCCAATAAACTGTGCCCCTTGTGGTATAGGAGGAAGCCACGTCTAAGCGCACTTCAAGAGGAGAATGTAGAATGGCGCCGGAATGCGTATTGATACTGGCTGTTGCTGTGTCCTAGTCTGGGTTCTATGAGCGATGGGTGTAAAAAGATTCCCCAGCCGCGAGAGTGAAAATCTTTGTAAAAAATCTTTTTTTTTTTTTTTTTTAGTAGAAGGTATCCGAGTGATGTCATGTGACGAGGGAAATAAAAAATTCGCAGCATGATACGTATTCTACATCGCTGCTATAAAATCTTGGTGAATTGTAGTTGCCTCCCGGTAATTATGAATGTCCAAGAGTTTTACCACCTGAAAGCCACGTGGAAAAGCAAGATATATCAACATAGTATATCCAGAAATAAGGGCCAAATGATTCGTATTTGGCAGTGGAATCAATAAGATTGACAGTGAATTGAATTATCGCTCCTTCGTGTACTCGCATTAACATCTTCTGCGATTTTGGATAGCTCTGCATTGCCTACAGACCTGAGTGCCCTTAGGGGACGAGAGGTAATTAGGAATTGATTTCTGAAGGATTCACAACGTGAGCCAGAGGAAGAAGGTTATTACGGCTATTCCACAAAGTGAGCCACCTGTGGCAGTATTGGCTGCAGAATCGCCAGATCACTTAAACTTTTGCACTCTGAGTCATTAAAAAAATCGCTGAATATACTGAAATCCCAGAGGCACATCCATCCATGCTCTCCAGGCATGTTCAGCCCTTCTATCCATATGGCCTTGAGCACACTCTATGTACAGTACCACAAGCTTGCGAGCTTGAGTGGGATCCCTGAATATTGTCCAGTGATTGATAGTGCCAACTAGATAAAACTGGGATTCTGGAACTGCTTTCTGCCTAAGGCCCCCATAAGTTTCCTGAAATGACAGTCATGATAAATCACTCACAAGGAATGTTGCCTTATACCCTAGTGATTTTAAACCTTTAAGTTATAGGAAGCTCTTTGACTAGAAAAGGAATAAAGACTTGGATATAAGCAGTGTCCTCTAGCAGGTTATCGCTTGAGGAATGACTAAACAAGGGGAAGTAAGTTAAAAATTCCAGTCGTTTATCAAATCATATCACTGAGCACCATTTCAGCGATACTGAACCTCAGTGCCTCAGTGCACCATGGGATCTATTTCTACCGAGGTCCAATCTACTTTGAAGTCCAATCTCGCCTTGGCTGGTAAAAGATATTGAAAAGGTGGAACCAAAGGAATTGGTAGTGATTTTATGTTTGTTGGACGAGGAACCTGGTCGGGTTGGTCATTTGCTCAGCTTTGGCTACACTTAGTGCTGGTTGGCTTCATACCAGAGGGGATACGGACTTGCACTGGGGCAGGCACTGGGTTGTTTGATGGCCTTGTAATTAGTTCTCATGCGGGCATAACTCTGAGATGGCAGGTGCGGGGCCATAGACTTAGTTAGCTTAGGATTAGTGGTATACCTGTTAGCGGTATCCCTGTGCTGGTAGGGGATCGTGGTATGCCAGTATTGGCGGTATGAGTTTAAATAAAATTAGATTGAATTCTAAGTACTTTTCCTACTTATTACTTTAACAAATATCAAACACCTTTATGATCTTTATTATTATTGCAGCCTTTATTGTTACACCGAGGAAAGCTCTTCACGAAAGAAGAGTTAGAGAAAGCTTATGATAGGTGTTCCCAATAGAAGACAAAGGTCTTATACTATCAGTAACGTAGGCAGAGGCCTAGTACTATTGTACAACTAAGGAAAAAAACAGAAGAAGGAGAGAAGTATTGTTTCCTGTCGCCAAGAACTAACTATCTGAGGAGGGATCGTTACAGCTCTTGTATTTTTACAGAGTATTAACAATTACAGGTACTCTTAGATTTCACCAGTGCTGGCTCAATGGATTTACAATAAGCTATAAGCTGATAAGATAGTCAAGATGTGGCCATAGTGCTTTGGAGAAACCGTTGTTGATGTTGGGTATTCTGCCCCAATTGGCGGGTGTTTGCGAGCTGTCTGTGGATGACGCCGCAACTCCTACTTTCAATACTCTATACTTTCCTAGTTGCTCTGGACCTGACCTCTTCCCACTTTTTGAGGTTGTAGCTCATTTGCTGTTAACTTGGTACTTTCTCCCGTAGGTTGAAGGACCTCTCCCTGGCTTCCATGCTTGAACCATGAGCTGTTGTCTTTTCGCATAGAGTGTAGTATGACTAAGCAAAAAGTCGATAAGGAGCAGGATGAAGACATGGGCATATAGTAGTGGATGTTGTCGAACAGAATCATACATCATAGCAGTAGAGCTAGCAGGTATTGATTAGGAAATTCGCAAGATTAGTCATTTGCTCCTATCACCTTCTCTAGGCACTTATGATGTTTCATCTACACCACTAAAAGTCTATAATCCCCCTATTATGAGTCATTAATGTATTCACAATGAGTCGTCATATATTCTTTACCTTATAGGTTGTAAAAAGCTGTATATTAATGGCAACTGCAAAAGTGTAACAATCCCCTTTTTGGTAATTAGTTCTTGGCGACGGGGAACGATACTTATCGTTTCTGTCTCCTTCTTTCTTTGTCTTACGATAGCTCTAGGCTTCTTCCTACGTTACCGATAGTACAAGACCTTTGTCTTCTATCAGAAACGCCTATGGTAAGCTTTCTCTAACTCGTCTTCCTGATGAGCACTTCTTGGCGTAATAATAACGTTGCAATAAAGATAAAGATTGTAAAGGTGTTTTGATATTCGTTAAAGTAATAAGTAGGAATAGTACTTAGAATTCAATCTAATTTTATTTATACTAGTACCGCCGACACCGGCATACGACCAGTCTCCCCCACACCCCGTAAAACAAACTATCTAAAATACACTACCGCGGACCATCCCGCCTCGCAATCGCTCCCCCCAAATATAAATCCAAAAATCACTACCTATATGGGCTCACGGGCGCTCGCAGCAACTAGTGCTGCCCTGGATTCACGCGTCTTCCCATCTCGCTTCCCAGCCACCACCTCATACCCTCCCCCCTATCCGCCTCCAACACAATCTAACCCACGTACTCCACAAATGAAACATACAGTCTATCCCAACACCCTTCTGTTCTTTTATAATGTAGTCCCAAGTCCACGTACCCTTCGGCCAAAACCGTCCCACAAAATAAACAACGCTCCTCCTTTAGCAAGCCTTTTGTTTTGGCCCACCGCAAAACTACTGACATCCGAGTTGCGAGGTCCAGCTCGTCCCACCGCTGGTGTCGAGAATGCCAAAACCAGTCGTGACACGTTCGTAAGTAGCGGCGCTTTTTCTCAAAGTGTTCGGAGAAGGTGACCCGTTTCTGGGTTGGCGTCGCCGAAATCGCAGCCCCACAGCAGGGACAGTCGCAGCGCCGTT